ACTATTATGAATTATTATTTTTTAATGAATACTACTTAGGGCCCATCTTGTTAATTTTGACTTATTTGGTTGGTTTTTAGATGAGGCATAGACATTGAAGCTTTTCAATCATCTCCAGGATTGCAAACCCAATAAAAAAAGACCTGGAACTAAAGGTCACTAAATGGAAAATAACTAATGACTTGAAGACAAGTGAAAAACTGCTGTTTTATCTATAATGAAAGAAATAAAAATTAATTATTTTAAGCTACTATATTAACTAAAATATGGTGATAGCAATATGTAATGCTGGTATCTGATATACTGATAGCAAAGTTGTAAATTGGTACTAGCTTTCTGGAATGCAATTTGACCATAATATAAAATTGCATATTTTTGTCTGATATCCATGTTATAAAGAAATTGTATGAAACTCTTAGAAATATAAATTAGTCTAAAATCTGCACTTTAATAACAACAAAAGCATGCACAACAGAATGAAATACTGCCTGGTCCTATACAATCTTCACAATTGTTGCTAAGCATGAGCCTATTGTTGCTGTCACTGTGCCAATCCATCTTGTTGGGAGTCTTCCTCTTTTTTGCTGACCCTCTACTTTTCCTCGCATAAAAATTACTGGCTGAGTTTTTTGGAAATACATCACTAGGCCTTTCTTCCTAATCTGTTTTAGGAAACTGCTAAAAGTTGTTCCTCATCATAGCAACACTCAAGCCTCCACTGACACACTGATAGTGGCTGTCTGTGAGATGCAATGGCCAGAAATCCAGGCCACCTTCTCTCCCATGTTAGGCAAGAATTCTATCATTGCCCCTATATTTATAGCAGGTGCTGCTGCTGTTGTATGCTGTCAAGGGGGTTCCAATTCATAGTGACCCTGAAAAGAGTTTCTGAGAGAGGCTGGTGGGTTTCAATTGCTGACCTTGTGGTTAGCAGTCTAGCACTTATCCTACATTACTAAATTAGGCCTTTTAAGTATGTTGTTGTTGCTAAGTGCCATTGAGTCCGTTTTAACTCAAAGCGACTCTGTCTAGGGTTTCAGAGGACTGGTTGGTCAGTTAGAACCGGTTCAAACTGACTTTTTTGGTCTAGTAGTATTATCCTGCAGCACCACACCAGAACTCCTCTAAGTAGGTTTGTTGTTGTTATGTGCTGTTAGCGACCCTGTACAGGGTTTCTTTACCAGAGCATTTCAAAAGCTCATCTTTCTCCTGCGGAACAGCTGGTAGTTTCGAACTACAGGCCATGAGATTAGCAGCCGGAATCGTAACCACTACACTACCAGAGCTCCTTTGTAAGCAGGTGTTGTTGTTATGTGCCGTGAAGTCGGTTCCGACTCATAGCGACCCTGTACAGTGTTTCCGAGGCTGTAAATCTTTACGGGAGCAGAAAGACTTATCTTTCTCCTGCGGAATAGCTGGTAGTTTCGAACTGCTGACCTTGCGGTTCGCAGCCTGATTCTAACCACCACTCTACCAGAGCTCCTTTGTAAGTAGTTAGTATGTAACTATTATGATGCTTCCAGAGACCAGATTTTGAAAAGTACTAGAGAGTTTAAGGAATAAGTCCCTGAAATGAGAGAAAAAAAATGTCCAGATTAAGGGGAAATTACCTGGCATAAAATACACAAACATTTGCCAACCTATTTGAACCACAAGGTCGGTGGTTCAAGACTCATCAGCCACTCTACGGGAGAAAGATGAGACTTTCTACTCCCGTAAAGATTTACAGTCTTAGAAATCCTATATAGGGTCATTTTGAGGTGGAACTGACTCAACAGCATGTTAACAACCACAATACAGTAAATAACCCAACCAATTCCTTCATCATTTTGAAAAGGGCAACTCTTTAGTATAAAGTAATAGGCAATGAAGAGGAAATACTAAAACTATAAGGCTGCTACGAATAAGAACAACTCAGGAGCACACAACAACAATGCTACTGGGGCATGTTAACAATTCATGCTTCAAAACCCAAACCCGGCCCACTGCAGTGAGTCATTCCTACTCACAGAGACACAATATAACAGAACTGCCACATGGGGATTCTGAGGCTATAAATCTTTCAGTTAGTTTAAAGAAGACATTTAGTTCCTCACAGTTCTGGAGGCTGAAAGTACAAACCAGGGTCTGAGCCATGTGATTTACTTCTTTGGGCCTCTTTTTTAGTTTTTAATGATTGCTGGAAATCATTGGCATTTTGCTACATCTGTGGCATTTCCCCCATATATATCTGTGTCTATTCTGTTCTTTCTGTAGGACAACACTTAGATAGGATTAGGTTTAGGGCCTACTCTATTCTGGTTTGGCCTCACTAACATAAAACGAAAACCTCTATTTCCAAATTGGGACATATTTCTAAGTACAGGTGTTAGGACTTCAACAAAACTTTTGGTGGGGACACAATTCAATCCATAATACAAGCAGGGTTCTCAATCTTGATGGTAGCAGACTTTCACAACTTTCTCCTACAGACAGACTTGAGTGGCTTTGAACAGCTATCCTTATTTTTTATTAGAAGCTGAGCACTTTGACCACAGTACCACCAGGGAGCACCAATTAATTTTTTGAAACACTAGCTCATTCTTTAAACATATTATGTTAAAGAACAATACACAGGACAGAAGATATTAAGTAGAACCTTAAAATAACTAAAATATTGAAACACCAGAATAACCAAATGAAAGTCCAGAATTTTAGAACTTCAAACAAATCAGAGATGATTTGGCTTTATACTTTCACCGCCGTTTTTGAGATTAAGAAACAGATTCCTGAAACTTTAAGTATTTTATCCAGCACTATCTTGCAATAGGACTATTTCCTTAGTAAATAAAACTACAGTGCACACATTAAAAAAACAAACAAAATAAAATATATTCTTTAAATAAACTGGTACATACCACTTGGTGGACTTGGTCATAGGTACTTTGGATTTTTCCATTTACTTTCTTACCTGGTAAAACAGGAAGAATATGACACTTTTAAATCTTCTTGTTCTGAAAGAATTCTAAGTTATCATTATAAAGACAGCTACAATTCTTTCTCTAACTTGAACATATTATTTTCATCCCTATCCCTTCAAAACCTGATTCAAATGAAAATAAAGGATCATCAAGAAGGAATCCCAGGGCTCTGAAATGCCACTTTCATAGCTACTTAGCTCAGTTTTCCATTCAGAGCATTTGAACAAATGTTTGTTTCTTTGGTTCAAGGTCAGGGATCAATTTTAAAATGCTGAAATAGTCAGGGGTCTATGGAAAAATATTAAAATTACAAAACTGGCATCAAAGAAATGAAACTTACTATGGTGATTATGAAATAAGAGTGTCGGTAATAGGTGAGGACCCCTGGGCCCTAAGTCTCTCTCCCCTGACTTCGTATCTACCCCTTTGCCCTGGGTCCTCTCTACTAGACAGACATCAAGAGAAAGCGGAAGACATCTCTAGTGCAACAAAAATAGTAAAATTGAGAGGGACAGTCTGGAGACAAGGAGAAAAACAGGACCTGAGACACTGGTAGAGAAAATTAACACCAGCTTTGAGAAACAAACAACTGGCCATAAAGGGCCATAAAGCAAGAACTTAGTGAAGGAACCTTAAAGGCCTAACCACCAAACAGACAGCCCATAAAATAGCACCAAGGGCAAATACAGAAGAAAAAAGTTAACATTCCATTTCCAAGACACCTGCACCCCTTTACTAAAAATCAAGTAAATATCCCTCCCATTTCTTAAGATGTAATCAGAGAGGGGTGGCATCAGATCTGCCCCTGGCGGAGGGCATCTAGGACCAGGAAAAAAACAAACCAAAACTATACTTAATCCATGCACCCCAATCCCACTGTGTCTTCTCCACTTGCAGAGACAGACACATTTTTCTCTTGAAGTGTACTTTCGCTTGCAAATAAAGAACTTCTGAGTGAAGGTTTATTGTACATGTGTGACTGAAAAGTGGTGACTCAGTGGAACTAATTCTTTAGATCTCTGAGAGAGGGAGAGACCAGGGAGAACATGACAAGATTACTCAATAAATTTGTTGATCTTTGAATTTTTCTCAAATGCCAGAACATGTGAGTTACTTATCTCATACTACACAGCTCATAAGCTAATTGACAGCATTTATAGAAATTTTATTGAAACAATGGTTTCAAGTACTTACTTCCAACAATAGTCTTGTGATTGAAAATCTTACTCCAAATTCCACCATCTACATTGTCTTTCACTCCAAATTCATAAACTGTATTAGGCTTTAGATTTCCCACAATTGTTTCAGTGGATGGACAGAGTTGAAAAACCCATTCTTTTTCCTTATCTTTTTCTCTGTAGCGAATGGTATACAGTCTGTTGAATAATAAAAAAATATAATAATTTACAATCACAGAGAGACTTAGAATGCTATTTCAAGTTACTCAGTACATCCTTGATTTTGCATCTACTAAGGCGACTGTTAGGAGCTCTGGTAGTGTAGTGGTTACGAATCAGGCTGCGAACCTTAAGGTCAGCAGTTCGAAACTACCAGCTGTTTCACGAGAGAAAGATGAGGCCTTCTGCTCCCGTAAAGATTTACAGCTTCGGATATTAGTCGGAACCGACTCCACGGCACATAATAACAACAACAAAAACAAGGCGACTATAATGTTGGTGTCCAGTCAATTAAAAAAAAAAAAAACTTGTAGAGAAAATGAAAATATTAATATGTCAATATACATTTTAAATTTCTATTTTTAAGTTAGGGGTTCTATGTAGTAACATAACCATAGTCTGATAGAATTTCAGACCTCTTTCAGTTCTATCATTTGCTACTTTGCAAAATGAAAACTAACAGTATTCATTTTTTCTTCAATTATACATAAAGTTGGGCACATGCATAATTTTAAAAATACTTACTATTGCAGTTTTGTGATTTTATGTGTGATTTTATGTGATGTTAACTTTGTGGAAGGAAAGTTAAAGATAATTTTGTTTACTTGTGTAAAAGAGAAGCTCAACGATGCACATTAAGACTGTGCATTGTGAAAGTGAAGTCTTCACAGAAGCAGGTCACCAGGTGTTTTTTCCCCACAGAGTTGCTGGTGAGTTCGCACACTAGTCACTAAATTATCAACTGACTACTTAACCATTGCACCATAAGGACACCTCATAAATAACAAAAAATAACAAAAATAAAACATAAACTCACCACCATCAATTTAATTCTGACTCATAGTAACCCCATATAGGGTTTCTGAGGCTGTCGATCTTTATGAGAACAGAAAGTCTTATCTTTCTTTTCACAGAATAGCTAGTAGGTTTAAATTGCCAACCTTGTGGTTAGCAATTCAGTGCTTAAGAATGGTGCCACCAGCACTCCTTTACTATATACTGCTATTGTTGTTGTTGTTAAGTGCCTTTGAGTCAGTTCTGACTCGTAGCAGCCCTGTATAAGGTTTCTGAGGAGCAGCTGGTGAGCTTGAACCACCAATCCTGTGGTTCAAACTGACTTGTGGTCCAGTGCTGATCCTACAGTGCCATTGGGGGGCTTCTAAAATTTTGTGGAAACACTCCATTATTTTTCCATGAAGAGTATAAAGTCCCCTCGTATTAAGACCTTAGAAGAATTGATGCATTTGAGTTATAGCGTTGGAGGAGAATACTGAAAGTACCATCGACTGTCAAAGAAAATAGATCTGTGTTGGAAGAAGTACAGCCAGAATGCTCCTTGGAAGCCAGGATGATCAGACTTCGTCTTTTATACTTCGGACATATTTTCAAGAGGGACCAGTCACTGGAGAAAGATATCGTGTTTGGTAAAGTGGAAGGTCAGAGAAGAGGGAGACCCCCAATGAGATGGATTGGCATGGTGGCAATATCAATGGGCTTAAGTGTAGCAATAATTGTGAGGTTGGCCCAGTATCAGGCAATGTTTTGTTCTGTTTTGCATAGGGTTGCTGAGTCAGTACCAACTCAATGGGACCTAACAACAACATATTATCATAGCAATTATAAAGGTATAACAAATTCTGGAAGAATCTAACACTTACAAGAATGGCTCAAATCCCTCTGAGAATATGGGGTCCACAGTTTATTTAAGAATAAAAAGCAAACAGTTATTAAGTGCCTTTGAGTTAGTTCTGACTAAAAGTTGTGTGTGTGATATGATGAAAACATTTAGTACCGTTCTCCCATTCTACCTTCTAGAAAAATGAGACTAAATTTCAGGTCAAGTGATTATATTTAAAGTTTTAAAAGTCATTCATTTACTCATGCGGCAAACATTTATTGAGTGAGAAACAGTTCTTGATGATACAAAATAATTACCTAGAATGGAGTCCTGAAATGGTGCTGTAGGATCAGCACTGGACTGCAAACCACAAGGTTGGCAATTCAAACCCAACAGATGCTCCTCAGAAACCCTACACAGAGATGCTATGAGTTGGAACTGACTTGACGATGCTTAACAACAACAACCCCACCAGCTACATAATTTCTAGGACTCAGTGAAAAATGAAAAATGAACCCTTGTTTGAAAATTATTAAGAATTTCAGGATGTCAAGAGCAAAAGATTAAAGCAAACATCTGGCCATACAGTTTCATAGGTCATAAAGCTTACCCTGACAAGAAGGCAATAGTTGATTAAGGACAGAGAGAAGGGATTTATTTGCATATTCAGTCTACTTTCTCACTAGTCTGTTGTCAAGTGCCATCAAGTCGGTCTGACCCATAGTGACCCTCTATAGGGTTTCCAAAAAATGACTGGTGAGCTTAAACCACTGACCTTCTGGTTCAAACAACTGCAGTCCAGTGCATTAACCCACAGCACCACACCAGGTCTCACTAGTCTAAAACCACTGAAATGTTTGATATCATTTATTAGTTTACTTCTTTCTAGTAAAAACTTCACCTGTGTTTCTTTCCCCTCATTCCAAAGTAGAAAAAGACAGGATGAGTGAAGGAGGCTGTTCCAGGCAAAACACTAACTGCTACTCAAACAAGTTTTATAGAATACAAGTTCTTTGTGTCTTGTGAAGCAAAACATCCACAGAGATTAATGAAACACATTACTTGACAAGTATGCTAAATGGAACTGTTGTTGTTGTTGTTTTCTCTCTGGATCTTATAAGACTTTAGAGACAAGCTGGGAAGCTAAAATTAGACCAAATAGGTTACTGCAATTATGTATCCTGGTATGGCACGGTAGATAATGCACTGGATTACAAGGTTGGTTTGAACCGCAAGGTTGGTGGTTCAGATTCACCAGCCACTCCTTGGAAGCCCTATACACAGTCACTATGAGTTGGAGCTGACTTCATGGTACTCAACAACAATAAGATTACAGATATATTATTAAAGTCTGGAATTGCTTGCACAATCTAGGAGGCCCATTGTTAACAGCACTACCAAAGCCAGATTCAAGGATTTTCAATAAATACACTTGATTCCATAGCATTTTCTTAAGAATAAAATGGGACAGAGAGAAACATTCTTCTTCTTCTCTCTCTTTTTTTTAAAAGCAGAAGTGTACCCATATAATCCTCCCTCCTCCAAAAAAAAAAAAATTAAATTGTTCTTTGTATTTTGGCAAAAAAAAAAAAAAAAATCATTTAAGAATCCTCTTTTACCAAGTTTATCAAGGAAAATAAATGTGCAGGCAAGTAGCTCTTCTCTGCTTCTGTCAGATTTATCCTTGTCAATAGTGCCTCAACTGACATTGCACAATACAAGCAAATTCTAACTTCCACAGGATAAGAACACCACATATCTATACTTAGAGTATAAATGTAAATATTCCTTGATTTTAAAGCAAAGTATAGGTATTTTGATAATTGTTGTTGTTGTGACCCTGCAAAGTGTTTCCGAGGCTGTAAATCTTTATGGGAGCAGAATGCCTCATCTTTCAACTGCGGAACTGCTGACCTTGAGGTTGGCAGCCCAACTTGTAACCACAGTACTTTATACCTTATCATGCAATAAATGTACCATAAATATGTATGGACTAGGTATATGGGTACGTAGGTGCTCACAGGGTCATTTTAAAATTAGAACATAAGGACAGTGAAATGGCAGGTGACTCAATCACCAAAAATAATGATTTAGACTATTGCAGCTATTAAGGTTTACAATGATAATTTGCAACGTGTCCATGCATAAGACTTCATTACTAAAATACACCATTCTTGTAGAATCAATGCCAATTGAGGCAGAATATAATAAATATTTGCATCATACATTTGCAGAGAGTGCAATTTCATTTATTTTTTTTTTAATTTAGTCATACAATAAACTTTAAGATGAACAGAACAAAATTATTACAGAAGTATGATTGACATATTGCTAAAAGCTCGTTGTGGACAAGCTTGGAGTTAAAAACTCTGGGGAATATGGGTGGCAAATCTTTGTGATAACCATTAGGTTATCACAGTGAAGGTTAGAGAAAACTCTTCTCACACTTCCAGCGGAAGGAAGAGAAACATTTTGAAATATGTTTCCCTAAACAAAGGTTTGCCCTCTAGAGTAACTCTTTGTACTAGAGCCTAACCAATAAGGGCTTTACCAGATGCTAACAGACATGATGGAGTTCTGGTGTAGCATGGTAGGATAAAACACTGGATGGTAAGTTCTGTTTGAACCACAGTCAGCAGTTCAAATTCACTGGCTGCACCTCAGAAACCCTATACAGGGTCACAATGAGTCAGATCCGATTGATGGCACTTAACAACAACAACAAATGACATGAGAACTCCCCCAATTCTGCCCTTTTACCTTCATGTTTCACTTCAACATCAGAAACACATTCTTCTTAAGCTCAAATGGAATATCCACCAAGACAGATCACATCTCAGACCATAAAACAAATCTTAAATTAATTAAAAAGACTAGAAACCATACAAAGTATACTCAAAAACCGCATTGGGGTTAAACTAGAAGTTAGCCACAGAAAGACAGCAGGAAAATCTTAAAATATTTAGAAATTTAAAGAACACACTGCCAAGTAACATGTGCTGAAGAGAAATTTTATATATATATATATTTGAACTATATGAAAGATGAGGGGGTCTTCAAAGTTTCATGGGACGTTTCCATTATCTTTTAAATACATTTTTTCCAAGAATTTTTAAAAGTTCAATCAAATGAATATCAAAATGTTTGATAGCCAGTAAAAGCAGTACAGAGTGGAAAATTTATAGCATTAAATACACATATTGTTGTTGTTGTTGTTTAGTACCGTGGAGTCGGCTTCGACTCATAGTGACCCTACACAGGGTTTCCAAGGCTGTAAACCGTTACGGGAGCAGACCGCCTCATCTTTCTCCCGCGGAACCACTGCTAGTTTCGATCTGCCGACCTTGAGGTTAGTAGCCCA